AACCTGTTTGTTCATTCCTAAGAATATTGTTTGTCTCAAGGAATCAGGTCAACCTTCTGTTAACCATTCTTTCCATAAGTTTAGCCAGCACGCTTGTGAGGGAGATAGCCCTATAGTTGTCCATGTTGCAAGGGCCTTTGGCCTTTTTAAGTACTGGTATTACTATGGCAACTTTCCATTGGTTAGGTACAAGACTGGTCTCCCAGATTTTGTTGAAAAGCGTCAGCATGTATTCCCTGGCTGTTGATCCCATTCTAATTATAAATTCCGCATGAATACCGTCTTCGCCAGGAGACTTCTTGCACTTGAGCTGTTTTATCGTAGCATTGAGTTTGCAAGGTTTGAATGGTTGAGTAAGTATATTATTTGATGTTGTCGTGTCTTCTTTAATTTCACTAAACTGTCTTACTTGTATCTTTAAATCTCTTGAAGATTTTTTGACAAAAGGGTTTTTCTTTTGCTTGTGGTAATAGAACCTTGCAAAGCAGTTAGCTATTTCGATGTCGGTGGTAAGCAATTTGCTGTTTAAGCGTATTGACTCTTTCTTGGGTCTTTCTTTGTTGTTTTNTTGTCGCACCAGTTTGTTAGTAGATTAAGTACACAATTTTGGGCACTTTCCGTCCTCTGCTGAGCTAAGTGCACAATTTAGGACACTTTCTGTCTTCTCTTGAGTGTTTTTCTTAGGGGCGGAATACCATAGAACAAGATCATCTGCATAAAGTAAGCACTTGATACCCGTGATAGTCTGTACCAATTCAGCTATGTCAGTGATGAAGACATTGAAAAAAGTGCAGCTTGTGACAGCTCCCTGTCAACATTGAAAAGAGTGCAGGTTGTGACAGCTCCCTGTGGAAAAAAGAGTGCAGCTTGTGACAGCTCCCTGTGGAAGGCCTGTATGCAGCTTGTGACAGCTCCCTGTGGAAGGCCTGTTTGTAAGGCTGGGACAGCTCCCTGTGGAAGGCCTGTTTGTAAAAGATTGGATCCTATAAGACATTGAAAAGAGTGCAGCTTGTGACAGCTCCCTGCGCAGGCCTGTTTGTAAAAGATTGGATTTTGATAGAGCATTTCTTTTGACTTTACATAATCGCATTTTGATAGAGCATTAAGATATCTGACTTTACATGATCTTTGTACAATGAATGCTTTTATCCAGTTTAGCATGTTATGTTTAATACCAATTTTTTATCCAAGCTTAGCATCTTATGCTTAATACCAATCTTTGCCAATTTTAGAATTAGCTTCTCTATCGGTCATATGCTGATTTGAAATCGACGAAAACAGCCGTAAGGGTATTTCTTGCATCAAGGTCATCTTTGATGTGTTGGGAGAAATTGGCTTTTTATTGATTCTGTGGCCTGAAACCTGCTTGTTCACTCCTAAGAATACTGTTGGTCTCAAGAAACCAGGTCAGCCTCCTGTAAACCAGTCTTTTCATAGGTTCACTCCTAAGAATATTGTTGATCTCAAGGAACCAGGTTAGCCTCCTGTAAACCATTCTTTCCATAAGTATAGGCAGCACGCTTGTGAGGGATATAGGCCTATAGTTGTCAAAGTTGCCAGGGTCTTTGCCATTTTTTAGTACTGGTATTACTATGGCAACTTTCCATTATTTAGGTACGAGACTGGTCTCCCAGATTTTTTTGAAAAGCGTCAGCTTGGTTTCCTTGGCTTTTGGTCCCATTATAATTAGAAATTTCGGATTAATACCGTCTTCGCCAGTAGACTTTTAGCACTTTAGCTGTTTATCGCAGCATTAAGTTCGCAAGGTCTGAATGGTTCATTAAGTACATTATTTGGTGTTGCGATGTCTTTCTTAATTTCACCAAACTGTCTTAATTGTATCTTCAAATCTCTTGAAGTTTTCTGACATAAGGGTTTTCCTTTGCTTGTGGGAATAGAACCTCGCAAAGTAATTAGCAATTTCGGAGTCGGTAGTAAGCAATTTGTTTTTTAAACGTATTGGTTCTTTCTTGTGTCTTTCTCTGTTGCTTTGGAGGTTACCCAGGAATTTGAAAGTGTGTTGGCTATCACTTTGACAGTTCATATTTGAGATGAACTTGTCGAAGTAAGTCCGTTTAGCTTGTGAATGGCTTGCCTTAGGACAGCTGGTTGTCGTCTCCAGGCTTGTACGTCTTCCGTTCATCCAGTCTGATCAGCTGTGTTGCGAAGGGCGTCCCTCTTTCTTTTCATACCCTCAAGGTGTTTAGATCGAAACTCTAGATAGTGTTTAGTCTTGCCTCGGGTAATAGTTTTCTTAGCACATATGATCAAAATATTCGTGATATCAGTGCAAAGTTTGCCAGGATATTGGTTGAAGTTATGGGAACTTGTTAGAAGTTCATTGTCTAAAAATTTAGTGAATCTAGACCAGTCAGCCTACTTGAAGTTCCATGATAGCTTAGTTGGCACTTTCCTTGACAAGCTTTTGCTGCCGATGGTAATACTAGCAATGACCGGTTTGTGACCAGAACCAGGATCGTCAATTATTTTGCGGCGTGTATGCTCACTGATGTCGCTTGAAGCCAAGAATCAGTCAGGAGTTGTTCTGGTTCCAATGTAGTACAAATATGCAGCCGGATCCTCATTGCTGTAAATAAGTTCCNATTCTTGAAGTTCCATGATAGCTTAGTTGGCACTTTCCTTGTCATGCTTTTGCTGTCGATGTTAATACTTGAAATGACTGGTTTGTGGCCAGAGCCAGGATCGTCAATTATTGTGCTGTGCGTATGCTCGATGATGTCGGTAGAAGCCAGGAGCAAGTCAGGAGTTGTTCTGGTTTCAGTGTAGTACAGATATGTAGCAGGATCTTCATTGCTCTAAATAAGCTCTAGAGGGTTGATGATTAACATGTCTTCGATTTCCTTTCCAGCTATGTTTGTATTCTTATAGTCCCATCTGGTGGAATGGGCATTGGAGTCTCCTAATACTAAAGTTTTTTGTGAGACGTTGAGAAGTTCACAGTTGGGACTATTCTGGAATGGATTATAGACTGCATATATCCTGAAGTGTTTTTTGACATTGCAAAACATTTAATCTGATTATCTCCCGTATGTCTTGCCTCGAGCCCATACTCCAGTCAGAATTCCACTTGCAACTTGCTGGTATTTGTGTGGAAGGTATAAGGTGAAACCTGGGAATTGGTAGTATTTCAGTTTGCCATCCGAAAGGTTTGCTTCCATGATTGTGAATATGTCTATATCATAGGTATGTAGGATTTTCTTTATTTGGATCTTCGTGACCTGTGACATCCCTAGAGTATTAAACTGAACAACCTGTAGAAGTTGTGATTCGCCCTAACGAGGGCGATGTCTCTTATAGCTTCGTTTCAAGCTAATTATAATAAATAAATTTAAGTTAAATGCCGAGTAACGGACTTTTTGCCGTATAAAGATACGTTGTCCAGGGTGCATCAGGAGGAGGTAGGACTATCGCGCACCCTAACATACACATGCAACTAGAAACAAATAATCTTTGAATATATTGCTTTCAAAGAAAATTATAATCTCATTAAGGGACTACTTTATTGCAATAGGTATATATATATATATATAT